TAAATTAACTGCATAATTAAGTGGTTAAGATGAACTGTTCAGAGTGGTGGTGATAGGAACCAGACATCCACCTCTAAAAGCTCCCTCACAGAAAGTTACTACATGAAATGGTTATGAATTCACTGCCTGATGACTGAGACACTGTTTTATGATAGTTTTGAGAAGATTTTGGCCTTAAATTCCATTCCTGGTGGAGGGATACATAATATGCAGGGCGCTGTGAGGCAAAATAGTCCCCAAAGAAAACTTACTATTTCAGATTTTCCACCATTTTCCATCATCAACATTCCATATAAACTCAGAAGACTCGTGTAGGTTCACTGGTGGTTCTGGATAGTAAATAAAATGTCTATATGTGTGTTGTAGTCATGGCGACCCCTGGTTCCTATCACCACCACTGTAAAGACATCTGAACCATTTCACACCGAACCACTCTGAATGTCTCTATTTACATCTCACACACTGGATTATGAGGGAATTTTGAAAAATCGGTGGAATTCCCCTTTAAATGTAGTAAATATAATAATACATTTTATTTTGAGATCGCTGTGAGAATATTATAACTAATTTATTTATGTAATTCAATATTACAAGGTAATTCTGTCTATTTCTAGACATCTTTTACTTGTTACAAGTGATTTTATATGTTAAAGTAATTTTATAATTTGCAGATAATTTTATTTGAAGTGCTTGCAAGATGCAAAATTATCATCTAATAGAAAAACAGTTTCACTGGATAAAATAATGTAAAAAAAGAAGTAAAACATACCAAGAAATAGGTTGAATAACCTTAACATATTATTAATGCCATGTGATGAAGTCAAACGGTGTGAGTGAACACGTTTCAAAAGGGAAAAAATCAAATGTAGTCTAGATTTAGGCTTAAACTTCATCTGGCAAACCCACCCTTACACTCCAGACAGAAACTGAATTCGGATTAATCTGCGGCGAAGAAAAACGCCCTTGTACTTCAAACAGGAACAAAACGTATGTAGTCTGGATTTAGGCTTAATCTTAGTTCAACAAACTCACCCTTACACTTCAAACAGGAAAACAATGTATGTAGTCTAGATTTAGGCTTAATCTTAACCCTGCACTTAAAATAAATCATATGTAGCTTACATTAAGGCTTAATCGTCGTCCAAGAAAACCCACCCTTACACTTCAAACAGGAAACAAAACCTGTGTAGTCTAGATTTAGGCTTAATCTTAGTTCAGCAAACCTGCCCTCACACTTTAAATAAGAAAAAATGCATGTAGTCTAGATTTAAGATTAATCTTAGTTCAGCAAACACACCCTTGCACTTCAAACAGTGACAAAAACCTATGTAGACTAAATTTAGGCTTAATTCTAGGCCTAATCTTTATTCCAGCAAACCTGCTCCTATGCTTCAAACAGGAAACAAAATCATAAGTAGTCTAGATTTAGGCTTAATCTTAGTCCTGCAAACCCACTCTTACACTTTAAACAGGAAAAAAGTCCAGTGTAGTCTAGATTTAGGCTTGATCTCAGTCCAGTGAACCCACCCTTACACTTCAAACAGGGGAAAAAAAATTATACGTGGTCTAGATTTACGCTTAATCTTAGTCCAGTTAACCCACACTTACACTAAAAACAGGAGATGAACTCATACACAGTTTAGTTTTAAGCTTAATCTTAGTCCAAACAGGAAAAAACTACATGTAGTCTGGATTTAGGCTTAATCTTAGTCCTGAGAACTTGCTCTTACACTTCAAACAGGAACAAAAATCAAACACAGACTATGCTTAGGCTTAATCTTCGTCCTGAAAACCCGCCATTACACTTCAAACATGAAAAAAAAACATACATAGTCTAGAGTTAGGCTTAATCTTAGTCCAGTGAACCTGCCCTTACTATTCAAACAGGAAAGAAATTATACAGTGTCTAGATTTAGGTTTAATCTTAGTCCTGCAAACCTGCTCTTACACTTCAAACAGGAAAAAAATCATACATAGTCTAATTTTAGGCTTAATCTTAGTTCTTAAAACCCACTCTTATGCTTTAATTAGGAAAAAAGTCCAGTGTAGTCTAGATTTAGGCTTAATCTTAGTCCAGTGAACCTGTCCTTGCACTTTAAACAGGAAAAAAAAATCAAACACAGTCTATATTTAGGCTTAATCTTAGTCCTGAGAACCCACTCTTACACCTCAAACGGGAAAAAAATCATATGTAGTCTAAATTTAGGCTTAATCTTAGTCCTGAAAACCCACTCTTACACCTCAAACGGGAAAAAAAATCATACATAGTCTAAATTTAGGCTTAATCTTAGTCTTTAAAAAAACCCACTCTTACGCTTTAAACAGGAAAATGTCCAATGTAGTCTAGATTTAGGATTAATTTTAGTCCAGTGAACCCACCCTTACACTTTAAACAGGAAAATGTCCAATGTAGTCTAGATTTAGGCTTAATCGTAGTCCTGGAAACCCACTCTTACACTTCAAACAGGAAAAAATCATACATAGTCTAAATTTAGGCTTAATCTTAGTCTTTAAAAAAAACCCACTCTTATGCTTTAAACAGGAAAAAATCCAATGTAGTCCAGATTTAGGCTTAATCTTAGTCCAGTGAACCTGCCCTTACACTTCAAACAGGAAAAAAAATCATACAGAGTCTAGATTTAGGCTTAATCTTAGTCCTGCAAACCCACTCTTATGCAATATTCAGTAGTTTACAGACTTAATCTGATTCAGATTCAGTCTAATGCTGATCACTTCCCGACCTGCTCGCTGTCTAACAGCAGAAACACACGTGTACAAGTTTATTTTCTTACTAAACTGAGCGAAGCCGTTCATGTTTCCTCACTCAGCCTTATCATATGTAAACTATTCCATAAGCTGTTGCTGCAGGAAACGTTTATCTGACCTGGATGTTTGTTTAAATATCATTAAATATTAATGAAACTGTGTAGAAGATTACGTGAGTCAGAAACTGGGACTTTGTAGGCCAGTTGAGAGTGTAGATGCTCACCTTGCCCGCAAAGACCCAACCTCTAACACACTGGACACAGAGCTGCGGCCTTCACTCACACACTTCACTGCGGGCTTCATTAAAGAGCCCATACACCACTTTCTCTTGTGTTTTCACTTAGAACCACTTAGAACGTTTGTGTGGATTCATTCACCAAAAACCAGTCATTCGTGTTGACACGACCATTTCACAGCCTCTCTTCATCTCTTAATTAAACAGGCTGTTTCTGTTACTGTGCCTTTAAGACTGAAATATGTAAATGAGCTCTGTTCTGATTGGCTGCCTTGTATTGCGCCTCATTTCAAAAGCAGTTAAGGCCTGAAACACTCCTTAAAATTTCAGCAAGAATGGGCAGAGCTAGACTGCTGTAGGCTGATGTAAGTAAATCTGTGACATCACAAAAATAATGAACTGTGAATTCAAAACGGGCTGTTTTTGCAGCTTATTTTCCATAAATGGACTGTATGAACAGTATGAATGTATGAAAAAGTGAGCGATATGTTTTGAATCTTTAACAATGTTAAAATGCTACATCAAAATAAAAAAAATTAACATTAAATTTTCCATGATATTGGCCCTTTAATGCTCGCAACCAGGATCTCCACATTCATCAACTGCCCTCTTCAAAATAAAAGTGCCAAAAAAACTCTTTGTTCACTTTAAAATGGAGAGAGTCATAATTTTAGGATTTAACACAAAGAGTTCCATGCAGTACCAAAGAGGTTCTGTGACTTGTAAGAGTTGTGGAACCTTTTTTGGTGCTATTTAGAGCATTTTTTAAATGTTCTTTGGTAATTACAGATTTCTGTGTGCAGAAGGTACTACAGGTACTAAAGGGTTCTTTATTTCATAGAAGAATCACTTTCAGTTCCCTAAAGAACCTTTCAGTCTACAGTTATTTAACGTAAATGAAATGTGTGAGTGTAAAGAACCTTTTGAAGATGAAAGAACCTCCACATCATGTAAAGCTTCTACACTATTTAAAGTTTTTATCTACACATTAAAATAAAAACGCCAGAAAGGATTTTTAGAAGAAGAACCACTTTCACTGAATGGTTCTTTAGAGAACCAGTGTTGTAAATGAGGTATGTGAGTGTGAAGAGCCTTTTAAAGTCTAAAGAACCTCCACGTAGTGTAAAGGTTCTTTAATGATTAAAGGTTTTTACAGGCACTTTTAAAAATAAAGGTACCAAAAAGGGTTCTTTGGAGTGATTCTGTTGAAGAACCTTTCAGTGGATTGTTTTAATTAAATGATATGTGCGACGGCGAAGAACCTTTTTTTTATATTTAAAGAGCCTCCACATGACATAAAGGTCCTATTCCAGGTAAAGTTTTACCTAGAACTGTATGTCCAAGCCAAGAACCGTTTAGGAACTTGAGTTTTTAAGAGGTAAAATGGAGAGGGCTGCCATTGCTAGGATTTAGCACAAAAGGTTCTAAATAGTACCAAAAAAGGTTCTGTGACTTGTACCAGCAGGGGAACCCTCTTTGGTGCGATTTAGAACAAATTTTTTAAATGATTCCTCAAAGAACCATGTACTACATCATATAGAACAAGCATTTTTTTGGATTTTTTAGTCACGGTTCTATATATAACCATTGCCTTTACTAAAGAACCCTTGTAGGACAGCATAACTGGGCCAATGTTTGAGTTTACAGTGGCACTTACACTTTTAAAAGGTTCCGAAACTAAAAGGTTCTTGGCTTGGTCACATGCTTCTGGAGGAACCTTTCATTGGTGTGGAACCTTTACATTACGTGGAAGATCTTCAGACTTTACAAAAGGCATTTCGCCCTCGCATATCTCATTTAAACACATGGTTATTTAAAGAACCATCCCTTGAAAGGGTTCTCAGGGAACCGACAGTGGTTCTGCTTAGTCATCAGCCCTTTAGTTTTAAGACTTTATCAGTTATTGTTGTTATATTAGCAGTTATAAAGGCTTTACAGCAGCAGTTATAAAGTTGTTATGCACACAAAATGACGATCTTGTGTTGGAGTCGAGTCTTACCTGGTACTGCGTAAGATGACCGGTGTGAAGGCCATTCCCCAGCACATGTTTAGCTCCTCGTAGCTGCTGGACAGAGTTGTGAACAAGTCTGAGCAACTGTGAAGCTCCAGCTTTGACACACTTTACTGCAGAGTCAGTCCAAGCCAGCGAGTCCAGTCCGTTTCAGTTATTCCAGTCCGGTTCTTCCTTAGCGCCGTGTTTCTCCACCAGAGAAAACTGGACGCAAGTCTGTGCGACTGCTGCAACTGTGAAGCTCCAGGTTTGAGTCACATTACTGGAGCTGCACAAAAAAAGTAAAACTAAACAGTCACAAAAGTGAGCCCGGTCGAGTAAATCCAGTCCAGTCCAGTGAGTCCGGACTAATCCAGTTGCTCTGGTCCAGTTCTCTCTCTCTCTCTCTCAGTGCTGAGTTTCTCCACAAAAGAGAGGTGGACTGAGCAACTGTGGTGCAACTGAGAAGCTCCAGCACTGAGTCACACTGCTGGAGGCTGCTTTAGAGGCAGTCCTGTCCGGAAATCCAGTCCGGGTAATCCAGTACATTCAATCCAGTCCCGTAACTCCGCTGTAGCTCCCATCACTGATTAAAAAATAATTATTATTAACTAATAATGTTAAATAATAATGTTATTATTAACAGTATTGTTATTATTATTATTGTTATTATTATTATTATTATTTTAGTCACTCCACTCCAGTCCAATCCAGTAAATATACTCCAGTCCAGTCAACACAGTCAGTCCAGACCAATTACTCCAATCCAGTAAATCCAATCTATCCTAGTCCAGTACGTCTGGTCCATTCCAGTAAATCCATTCCAGTCTAGTCTGGTAAATATAATCAATTCCAGCCCAGTAAGCCCATTCCAGTTCCATGAGTTTGATCCAGTCCAGTCAATCCATTCCAGTCTAGGTTGTAAATACACTTTATTCCAGTCAACCCAGCTGAGTCCAGTTCAGTGATTACAGTCCTGTTAACCCAATCCAGTCCAGTGAGCCTTATCCGGTCCAGGCATTTAATTCCAGTCTAGGCAATCCAGTCCAGAGAGAACAATCCTGTTGACTAAGTCCATTCCAGTGCATGAAATCCACTCCGGTCTGCTCTCTTCTCAATGCCCTCCTTTAAATCGCCCAGTTCCATCATGGTGGTTTAGTCTCTCAGTCCTGCTGCTCTGCCCTGTAATGGGTGTGTGTGTGTGTGTGTGTGTGGCCCTGAATAACCATGGCCCTCTCTAAATGTGGGGGGCCTCCAAAAGCTTCGCAAATAAAATGATTTGGTTTCTAATTTTGAATTATAAAAATAAATAATATTATAATGTAATATTGTCCCACCTCAAAAATAAAGTGGTTTGATCCTCCAGGGCACATCTGTCACTGTTGCTGGCTATAGATGGCAGTTGGTGGCTGATCAGCAGTTCTGATGCTGCGTTCATGTTCCTATAGTGGTTCAGGTCAACATCAGCATGAAGCTACGCAGACGTACAAACAGAAATGAATCCGCTCACTTACTCTCACCTCGATTAATAATATAACCTGGAAATGTAGGTTTAAAGGGGGAACACTGCCGATTTTTCAAAATTCCCTTAAAGTCCAGTTGAGACTGAGAGATTCAGAGTGGTTTGGTGTGAAATGGTTCAGATGTCTTTACAGTGGTGGTGATAGGAACCAGGGGTCGCCATGACTACAACACAAATATAGACATTTTATTTACTATCCAGAACCACCAGTGAACCTACATGAGTCTTCTGAGTTTATATGGAATGTTGATGATGGAAAATTTTGGTTTTGGTGGCAGAATTTTCCGTCACGGCTCTGGTTGCCGTCATCCATCTACCGCATGTGAAGGCAGCATAACCTGGTTAAAACGAAACCAATATCAGGATTTCATAAACGAAAGGAGCAGAGAGAGACAGAGAGGAGGCGAAAAAAGGAAGGCTAACACTGACACACAGGTGAGCCTAAAGCGCCAAACTGTAAATATGTTGTAGCAACGTGAGCTAGCTAGGTCAGCTAAATAGCGATTAACGGTAGCTACATTCACAGTCAGCTGGTAAATGAGCTCAGGATTTGATTCAGACGGTAAGCATTTTTAAAACAGCTCACATAGCAGACAGTGTTTATGAAGTTAGCGTAGCCTGATAAACACAGTTTGAGTCCTTAATGAACTACAGCAGGAGTGATGACTCAGAGCACGCTTACCTTATTGATCATCAGCTGTTTAATACTGAATGCAGGCCGGCCTCATTAAGATAATAACATAATTACAGTAAATATTATATATAAATATGTTATATGTATTTTTTCCTTTCCTTTATTTTCTTGTGAAATTCGGTGCTATGTCCCTGGGTGTATGTGTTTGTTTAGGGCAGTAATGGTGTGTGTTTGGGGGGTGTATGAGATTGTGTGTGTATGTATGTGTGTGTGTGTATGTGTGTGTGTGTTTGCGGGTGTGTAGGGATGTGTTGGGGTGTGTGTGTGTGTGTGTGTGTGTATGTGTGTGTTTGCGGGTGTGTGGGGATGTATTGGGGGTGTATGCGTATGTGTGTGAGTGTGTGTGTGTGTTTGCGGGTGTGTGGGGATGTATTGGGGGTGTGTGGGGATGTATTGGGGGTTTTGCATATGTGTGTGAGTGTGTGTGTGTGTGTGTGTGTGTGTGTGTTTGCGGGTGTGTGGGGATGTATTGGGGGTGTATGCGTATGTGTGTGTGTGTGTGTGTGTGTGTTTGCGGGTGTGTGGGGATGTATTGGGGGTGTGTGGGGATGTATTGGGGGTTTTTGCATATGTGTGAGTGTGTGTGTGTGTGTGTTTGCGTTTGCGGGTGTGTGGGGATGTGTTGGGGTGTGTGTGTGTGTGTGTGTGTGTTTGCGGGTGTGGGGATGTATTGGGGGGGTTGCGTATGTGTGTGAGTGTGTGTGTGTGTGTGTGTGTGTGTGTGTGTTTGCGGGTGTGTGGGGATGTGTTGGGGTGTGTGTGTGTGTGTGTGTGTGTGTGTGGGGTGTGTGGGGATGTATTGGGGGTGTATGCGTGTGTGTGTGTGTGTGTGTGTGTTTGCGGGTGTGTGGGGATGTATTGGGGGTGTATGCGTATGTGTGTGAGTGTGTGTGTGTGTGTGTGTGTGTGTGTTTGCGGGTGTGTGGGGATGTGTTGGGGTGTGTGTGTGTGTGTTTGCGGGTGTGTGTGTGTGTGTGTGTGTGTGTGTGTTTGCGGGTGTGTGGGGATGTATTGGGGGTGTATGCGTATGTGTGTGAGTGTGTGTGTGTGTTTGTGTGTGAGTGTGTGTGTGTGTTTGCGGGTGTGTGGGGATGTATTGGGGGTGTTTGCATATGTGTGTGAGTGTGTGTGTGTGTGTGTGTGTGTGTTTGCGGGTGTGTGGGGATGTATTGGGGGTGTATGAGTGTGTGTGTGTGTTTGTTTGTGTATGTGTTGTTTATTTTTTGTTTATTGTTTTTGTTTATTTTTGGTGTCTCAGCACTGAACTGCACTGATATTCACGCCCAGATGTTGCATTAAATCTGCTGCTCTTTAATTCTACTGTGTACTTTACGGTTTCCGACGCCATCTCGTGGTCACTCTGTAGAGTGCAGCTATAAGGCGAAGCAGCTATGATAGCGAATAAAAGCCCTGTTGGATTAAAAACACTGTTAGAACCATTAGAGTTAAAACCTGATTTTACTTTCTAATGTCAATTGGCTTAAAAGATTTCCTTAAAGGTTTCTATGTTTTTTCTTTAGTAGGGAATGTATAAAGACTCATACCGACTTCGGTTCATCACTGGAATAAGACTTTACAGTAAGGGCATAGAAATGTCAATAGAAACATGTAGGAGGTTTTCATGCGGTGGCCGATCGGTGTATATGTACATTATTTTATGTACACATGTATATTTAAATTTTTTAAAAACATGCCTCCCATTTGTATCGTAGGCACGGACGGGGTTCGAACCCGCGATCTTCGGTTTACGAGACCGACGCCTTACCACTTGGCCACCGCGCCTAACGGTCTCCACGGCCAAAATCAGGTCATTCGAATAAACTTCTCTCAATTCATTCTCACAAATACCGAACTCAGAAGTGGCTTCACTCTCACCTCGATACAATATAACTTGGTTTTAAAAGGGGAACTCCACCGATATTTCAAAATTCCCTCATAATCCAGAGTGTGAGATGTAATCAGAGTGATTCGGAGTGGTTTGGTGTGAAATGGTTCAGATGTCTTTACAGTGGTGGTGATAGGAACCAGGGGTCGCCATTACTACAACACAAATATAGACAGTTTATTTACTATCCAGAACCACCAGTGAACCTACACGAGTCTTCTGAGTTTATATGGAATGTTGATGATGGAAAATAGTGGAAAATCTGAAATAGTAAGTTTTCTTTGGGGACTATTTTGCCTAACAGCGCCCTGCATGTATCCCTCCACCATGAATGGAGTTTAAGTTCTCTAAACTATCATAAAACAGTGTCTCGGTCATCAGGCAGTGAATTCATAACCATTTCATGTAGTAACTTTTTGTGTGGGAGCTTTTAGAGGTGGACGTCTGGTTCCTATCATCACCACTGTGAACAGTTCTGACTCGGTAAGTTTCTCTAGAACAGAGCGTTTCACACCAAACCACTCTGAACGAGAGCGGTTGAAGAGAGTGTAGAAAATTTGAAAAATCGGTGGAGTTCCCCTGTAGCGTGAAAAGAATAACAGCAAAAGGAGACACGCCCTGTAACCTCATCCAAAAGCAATGCCGTATGCAGCGTTTTAAATGTTTAGATTTCAGCAGATTAAAATAGAACGTGTGCGCGTTTGCACTGAGTCTGCGCGAAATAGTACAAAAATAGTACAGTAACAGCTGATGTGCGTCTTATTTTTTCCCCCACCCATATTGTGACAAACCCCCGCCCTCTCGCGGCAGCGATTGGTTGATAGAACTCCGTCACCTGCGCTAGGATTGGCGGGTGCCCGTCAACCAGTCCGTGAAGTGCTTGTGAGTAGCCAATCCTAGCGTTCGAGGGCGGGGCTTACCGGAATATGGGTGGGAAATACAAAGCGTTGAACGTGTTGTACGTTATACATTGTCCGAAGCAGATTTTGTAAGATTTCGGTAAGTGGAGCGAACGTGTTAACCTTTTTTTGCGCTTGTTGGATCTTTTTCATAACTGTTTATTCTCCCATAGCGGTGTGCTAATGCTAACCACTGGATTTAATGCTGAAACCAAGACCATATGTGTTCATAGCATTAGCGGTGCAGTCAGACTGTTTACATGCGCACACTGGTTCTTTAAGGGCTCTTTAGAGAAGGTAGTGGTTCTGTTTGGAACCTTGAGTCCTATATAGAACCATTTCATGTTTTAAAGGTTCGTTGCATGGTGAAATTGTTCTTCAGATTGATTGAGAATGTGTTGTGCGTGGTTCTACATAAAACCTTTTTGAGAATTGGTTCTATGTAACACCAAAAAGGTTCT